CGCTGAGCCTGCGCGTCCGGAGCCTGTGCTCCGCAACGGGAGAGGCCACAACAGTGAGAGCCCCGCGTACCGCAAAAAAAAATAATAATAATTAAAAAAATAATAATAATTTTTAAAAAAACTGACTATCCTATAACTATTCACTACTTTAGTCAGGTAATATAAAAGCATATAAATATGCCTTTCTTTTCATGCAGGCATAATTTATTCATAAAAATTAACTCTGCTATAAAAATCCCTTTCATTGATATCTGTAGTTTAAGTTTCAGAATAAACGGATGTATGTTTCAAGAGTGTTCTGCACAATGTAAGAAAAAAACAGCATAAAATGAAGCATAAAGAACTTTCACTAAGATTCAGAAAAAGACTAAATAACTTGAGACATATTAATCATCTCTGATCTTGTAATTTTGTGGGTGAATTTCGTGTGGATGTAAACTGATCGTGGAATTAGTGATGCACCATGAAACATAAGAAGACTTTTAGTAGAGAGACAAAAAGTACAATACTAGTCAATATAATTGACATCACAACAAATAAAGCATTTTAGGCCAGAGTGAATTTTTGTAGCACCAGTGATTATTCAGATTATCCATAAAGATATTTCCTATGTAAAAGATATAAGCTTTAAAGCTGAAACCTAAGAGCATTTTGAAAATGAGAAAATTTTCAAATTTTTTAGAACAAAACAATTCCATAGAAACATCCAAAATTCTCTGCAAACAGATCAGACAAGTACCATTTAAAAGTAATGCAACACTGGGTAACCTCTGTACTGGTCGGATGAGAAGTTCAACAAGGCTTTGCCGCCCACATTCTGGTTTAGCTTGGTTTATCTGAAAGGAATTAATTTATTCAATAATTACTTAAAAGGTTTTCTGCAAAGATTAGACATTACATTTATTAGATTATACTTTTATCATTTGTGCCCTGATAAGAACTAACAGGAGAAGTAGGGTGGCAGGTGTTCTCTGGCAGATTACTGTGGCTAAATAATCCCCCAAGGCCTGAAATGGCCTCCTGGCAAGCCAAGGATTAACACCTTAAACAGAGAGTGAGCTCTCTAAGCACTCTTATACATTTCATTTGAGTTTCTCTTACATCTACACCATTCAAAAGAAAAAAAACAAATTTAAAATACTAATTATGCTGATACCATTTGGATAAAGTAAGGCACTGGTAAGAAAAAAAAATCATTAAAAGCAAAACAAAACTCATTGGAAAATTTTTAGAGGTGTTTGAGAACTAAAACATGCATAAATTAAAAAAAAAAACAAAACATTCATATTCATTCAGCTGCCTCTTGGATCCTACTTGTAGCATGTCAAAACTTGTGAAGCCAAACATCACTGCCACTCTCAGGTAAAGCTAAAGTTAACAGATAACATTAAGGTGTTCTTACATGGATACATTTTTACTAAAAGTATAATTTTAATGAACTCATTAGATTTTTATTTGAAAGAAATGCACATTACCTTTAGAAAAGCATGAAATCTTGGTTTCTGTTTCTCACATTTAATAATTGTTTCCTTGCTCATTTCAAAGAAGTTCACAAAGGGAGGGTATGTTTTTACCAAATCTTTTGACTAGCAACAATTAAAAAAAAACAACACATTAATTGGTAATGGATGTTACCCTTAGTCAATGAAACTTCAAGTTTAATAATCAATAGTCAAAATCTGACATACTGGACCCAAAATAAAAGTTTAAAATAACTTTCTTCTCAAGTTAAATACAGGAATTTATTTTATAAACTTTTCACTAACTACTGAGTTAACTGCTAAACAAAATGCATCAACTGATACCCAGAGCCTAAAGCCTGAAAAGCAAATAAAGACTCAAAAAGAAAAAGAAGTATATTAAAGCTTATAGTATTGATATAAACATGACAAAGTTTTAAAACTTCTATAAGTTCAGAATATAGTAATTATAGTTGACCTATGCAGAATCCAAGAACATGCTATTATCTACTGAAGGATCCAAACCACCATTAAAAGACCAACTGTACTGGGTAATTTTTAGGTAAAATGAAAACAAAAAAAAAGGAAAATGTCTTGACTAATTGAGACTAACAGGTATCAAAAAGATATGGTACAATAATTTGCATATTTGGAATTCTCAACCAACCAGAAAAAAAACATCTAAGGGATATAGGGTAAAGATTAAAGTTAGGAGACCTCGGAAAACAAAAGTAAATGGGCAAGAATCCAAGGTAGTGAAACTTATAAATCATATCCAAAGAGACTGAAATTTATAAATCCTATTCACAGCACCTCATCCAAAATTAATATACTTTATTTGATAAACTATGTTGTTCTTATCTTAGAGATGAAACAGTTCGTTAGAAACTTTTATGCAGACACAAAGACAGTAAAAACTGCTACAACTAAGGAAAGAAATGACTAAAACTGGATTACTAAAAATTCCAAAAAAATCATTAATCTGTGGCTATTTATAAGAGGCAAATAACATGATATATAGTAAAATGTTTGTAGCACAATACAACAATTAGTGTTCCTAATGATGACCTTGAGCTATCAAGAAAGTGTTAAGACTGTATATAGAAGGCATGTTTCAGAAGACAAGAACACTTCCAATACATTTTACAAACACAACTATGTCAAAGTGTTTAAAAAGCTCTCACATTTAAATAGGTAACTTTCATTCCCTGCCAGTCCTTGTTGAGATGATACTTTAATCTGAAAACTTAAAAAGGAAATAAAATACTTACATATTTAAGAAAGATATCACCAATACTTTTGCTCTCATCCCAATTAACAATAAGGTCTTCAAGATCATCCTGAAGAAACACAAAATGGGACAAGGAGACTGATTTTGACAATCCCTTTAACATCTTTTTATATTTAAGATATTCATTTGAAAGATGCACTTTACAATGTGCCTTAATTTGATGTGTATAACAATTAATAACATTCTTTCTCCTCAACAAGAAATTAACTTTTTGTCTATGAGGAAAATATCCTTTGAAAAATAATTAAGAAAATATAAAGAATGTCACGTCAATAGGACTTAAGTCTAGGGACTTCCCTGGGTGGCGCAGTAGTTAAGAATCCACCTGCCAATGCAGGGGACAAGGGTTTGAGCCCTGGTCCAGGAAGATCCCACATGCCGTGGAGCAACTAAGCCCGTGAGCCACAACTACTGAGCCCGTGCACCACAACTACTGAAGCCCACGCACCTAGGCCCCATGCTCCGCAACAAGAGAAGCCACCGCGATGAGAAGGCCGCACACCGCAACGAAGAGTAGCCCCCACTTGCCGCAACTAGGAAAAAGCCCGTGCACGGCAGCAAAGACCCAACGCAGGCAAAAGCAAATAAATAAAAATAAATAAATTTATTTAAAAAAAAAAGACTAAGTCTAACTTCCCAGTATGATGTGGTAGTTCAATATCTTTTCTAATTATTAACTATAAAGCTGATGGTGTGATTAATTATAGAATTAATTAATTATAGAAAACTACTTTTGATCTTGCTGCTGAAACATCAGCCATTAGAAACTGTAATCTATAAAGGGGTCAGCAAACTTTACTTAAAGGGCCAGAAGATAAGTATTTTAAGGCTTGCAGGCCACATGGTTTCTGTCACACGTCCTCAACTCTGTCCTTATAGAGTGGAAGGAGCCATAGATAATACATAAATGATTGTGTGTGGCTGTGTATCAATAAAACTTCCCTTACCAAAACAAGCAAAACTTTACCAAAATCCTAAGTTGGCTGGATTTGGTCTACTGACTATAGTTTGCTAATCCCTGGCCTATAAAATTTCTCAATCATCATCCTAAAATCCTACACATTTTCAAAAATTTAGAAGACACCTAAAAGCTTTCTAGGATAATAAAATAAAACACAAATCAGATGATAAAATGAGATACCAAGAAATGACATGCCCTAATTGAAATCCTAAAAGTGACTTTAAAGTAGAAATTAATCAATAAACTTATAAAGAGCTTTTCAAAGTCTTATATGCAGGACCACCCCCCAAACACACTTTTTTAGTGGGATCCATGAGATTAAACTATTTTTACTACAATACTATGGCATTATTTGACTTTTTATTCTAATTCTCTCATAAGGATACAACAGAGTTTTCTAGAGGCTATATATATGATGTGTGATACTGCAACAGAATGAATTAAGAAGTAGGCAGGAGAAATAGTCTTCTATTAAGCCGGACAGAAAAAAACAAACATAAATCAACATCACTCCTCACTATTTGTTTTGGAAATTAGTTATTTTTCAAAAAGAACATGTTATTTATCTATCTTATAATGAGTCATTATTACTTTAAATTTATTAATGTATGTTTTGAAAACTGGATATCCACACACAAAAAAGATGAACTTAAACCCTCACCTCAGCCAAAAATGAACTCAAGATCAGTTCTAGACCTAATTGTAAGAGCTAAAACAATACAACCTCTAGAAGAAAATATAGGAGAAAATCTTCAAAACCTTGGGTTAGGAAAAAATTTCTTAGATATGACACCAAAAGCACATTACATTTTCAAAAATGGATAAATAGGACTTCATCAAAATTAAAAATTTTGGTACTTCAAAAGACACCATTAAATAAATGAAATGACAAGCAACGACAGGCTGGGAGGAAATATCTGCAAAACACATAGCTGATAAAGGACTTGTATCTATAGTTTACAGAGAACTCTTACAACTCAGTAAGACAACAAACAACACAACCAAAAAATGGGCACCAGATCTAAGCACACATTTCACAAAGGTAATATATAAATGGCTAACAAGCACATGAAAAGATGCTCAACATCATTAATCATTAGGGAAATGTAAATCAAAATCACTTCACATCCCAGAATGGCTATAAAAGAAAAAGGATAAGTATTGGCAAGAATGTGTAGAAATCTGGGGCTTCCCTGGTGGCGCAGTGGTTGAGAGTCTGCCTGCCAACGCAGGGGACACGGGTTCGAGCCCTGGTCTGGGAAGATCCCACATGCCGCGGAGCAACTAGGCCCGTGAGCCACAGCTACTGAGCCTGCGCGTCTGGAGCCTGTGCTCTGCAACAAGAGAGGCCGCGATAGTGAGAGGCCCACGCACCGCGATGAAGAGTGGCCCCCGTTTGCCACAACTGGAGAAAGCCCTCACACAGATACAAAGACCCAACACAGCCATAAATAAAATAAAATAAAATAAAATAAAATAAAATAAAATAAAAAAGAATGTGTAGAAATCTGAACTCTTATAGATTACTGGTGAGAATATAAAATGATGTAAAAACCTGGCAGTTTCTCAAAAATTTTAAATATAAGACTACCAATATGACCTAACAATTCTACTACTCCTAAGTATCTACGGAAGAGAATGAAAGCATGCCCAAACGAAGATTAGCACATAATGTTCGTATCAGCATTATTCATGACAGCCAAAAACTGAAAACAAGCTAAATTTCTATCAGTTCGTGAATGGATAAAGAAATGTAAGATAGCCGTATAATAGACTATTATCTGGCCACACAAAGGAACAAACTACTAATGTACTAAATCATAGATGAAATTCAAAAATATGCTAAGTGAAAGAAGCCAGACATAAGACACCACATATTATATATTCACATTTATATGAAGTGTCTAGAAAAGGCAAATTCATAAGAAAGTAGGTCAGTGGTTGCCTGGACCAGGGGCTAGGAATGGGGTTTACTACAAATGGGTATGAAGGATCTTAACAGGGAAGGTGAAATGCTCTAAAATGGATTTATGGTGGTGGTTGCATGACTTGGTGAAGTTATTAAAATCATTGAATCATATATTTTAAAAAGGTTGAATTTAAAGATGAAAAATGTACCTCAATAAAGCTGTTAAAAAAACTGAGGCATCTTTAAAAATACTATTAGATTTTTGTTTTAATTTCGAAAACAGTTAATACCAATAGACAAAACCCATATAGGGCTTCCCTGGTGGCGCAGTGGTTGAGAGTCTTCCTGCCGATGCAGGGGACACAGGTTCGTGCCCCGGTCCGGGAAGAACCCACATGCCGCGGAGCGGCTGGGCCTGTGAGCCATGGCCGCTGAGCCTGTGCATCCGGAGCCTGTGCTCCGCAACGGGAGAGGCCACAACAGTGAGAGGCCCGTGTACTGCCAAAAAAACCACAAAAATAACAAAACCATATAAACATAAGTTCCTCAGTCATTTTTAAGAATGAAAAGGGACCCTGAGACCAAATAATTTAAGAACCACTACCCTATATTCTGCAGATTCAGAAAAGCCAAAAGGGAAAAAATTTACTTCCAATAGCAAAAAGGTGAACTCAAGCAAGAATAATTTAACAGCTCACAGTGTCAAGAACTAAGATTTAACTGTTTAAAACTGCACTTGAAAGAAACAAAAGAAAAAGATTATAAATAAGACTAATCTTGGAACAATATAATGTAGTGAATTCTGGCACTGACTAGTTAGTTTTAAATACTGGTTCTAGAGTCTGTTAGTTTTGTACTGTTAGGCAAGTTACCTAACCTTAAAGTGCCTCAACTTTCTATTATGAAAAATGAGGATAGTAATGACTCCTATCTCATAAAGGATCAAATTAGTTAATACTTGTATACCATTTAGAAGAAACCCTAACCCTAACCCTATAGTAGTGCTCAATAAGCTACTATTAACTATATTTTCCTATGTATTTAATATAAATAAGGGAGATATTTGGAAAACTGTGTTGCAAAAAAAAACCTTATAGCTCTGCCAATATAATTTAGTGATACATTTTTAAAGTGTAAAAAATTACAGGATGGCTGCATATACTTATATAAGAATATTGTTACCAGAGAGCAAAATAATCTCTAGGGAATCCGAAAAATAGTCTACTGTTTCTGGTTAACCTTTAAATCCTCATGCTTGTTGATTAAATAAAGATCTCTGCCCTAATCAACTGTTAGCTCAGGGACTAAGTAAAGAAACTAAGGCTTAGAGACATTAATTTGTCCCAGATCACACAGTTGTAAACCAGTATTCATACTCAGCCTTGTCTGACTCCTGATTCTGTCATTCAACTTGATCTATACCACAGTTCTCCCCGTCAGAAACGGGGAGTCAGGTGGGCAGGCGAGCCCCAAACAGCATTATTCATAGTGCCATCATTTCTTACAATGTTTCTGTAGGAATATGCTTGACTCAGTTTCGGACAGACCCTGGGACACGTCTCCTCCTTGCCCATTACACAATTCTCCATCGGATGCTCCCAAAGTTACCTCCCGGCCATAAGAAAGGAGAACTCTATAGTTCTAAGACATAGAGCATAGCTCCCAAAGCGTATTGCAAAAGTAGAGGAAGTTGTAAGCAGATGGGATTAAGAAAGCTAAGCTCCTTCCTTCACTTCTTCCTCGCTAAGATTTCTTCTGTCCTGTTACCATCTATTTTTATACAAGATGGGTTTCCCTTTTGCTTAGCTCACAATACACCAAATTAGCAGATTTCCCAGTATACACCTGTTCCTGAAACAAGTACAAGGTACCTTAGGACTTACACTAAATTAACAAATAACAAAGCACAAACGCAGAAAGAAAACATTCTCCCTCCAACCCTTTCCTTTCTCTTTTGCTTCATCATAGTTCCATACAAAAGCATGCATTTGCACATCAAGGACCAATGGTGATTAGCCCTGAAAAGGAAAAATTCACACATAGGAAAAGAGGTGCTCATAACAATCTCAAAAATTCTCAACTTGGGCTTCCCTGGTGGCGCAGTGGTTGAGAGTCCGCCTGCCGATGCAGGGGACGCGGGTTCGTGCCCCGGTCCGGGAAGATCCCACATGCCGCGGAGTGGCTGGGCCCGTGAGCCATGGCCGCTGAGACCGCGTGTCCGGAGCCTGTGCTCCGCAACGGGAGAGGCCACAACAGTGGGAGGCCCGCGTACCGCAAAAAAAAAAAAAAAAAAAAAAAAATCTCAACTTAATCTAAACATTAGCATGCTAAAAGTTGGAGGCAAATTAAGAATACGGCTAAAGGTATCCACATGATATCTAGGATGACAAAATACACTAAGTTCCAGTCCTGATTTGGACATTTAAAAGTAGCATGACCAATGTTCAGCAAATATTTACTGATAGAAATCTAAGTGCCAGACAGTGGTTGTAAACACAGTGGGTAAAAAATGATTTTAGTCCTTCACAAAACATCTAAACATTAGTTTACCTGCCTTCTGAACTTAATTTATTGGTAATATGAATTGCTATTGTTATTTATTGAATGCTCAGTGTTAGGCACTATGCTTAGTGACTTATAAAAATGTAAAAACTGAGAATAAAAATTTCACAACCACCCGTGATTCAGATACTACTATCCCCATTTTACAGATAAGAAAACTGAAGCAATTAAAATTACCTTACTTCAAACCCAAATCTACTTTATTGCACAGTCCATATCTGAAACCACTATGCAATGCTATAAAATACAGATACCAGTGCTTCTCAGGAATACCATACCAATAAGATGATATGAAAACCTGTACAAACTTAAGCCACATTTACACGGTCTATTCATTTACATATTAAAAGAATAAACCTACAGCATGATAATCAAGAAGCAATACAGCATTATTAATAGTCAGGACATGGAAAGAAACTAAGTGTCCATAAATGAATTAATGGATAAAGAAAATGTGGTATATACAATGAAATATTATTCAGCCATGAAAAGAAGGTTATCCTGCCATCTGTGACAACATGGATGTACCCTGAGGGCATTATGCTATGTGAGATAAGTCAGAGAAAACAAATACTATATGATCTCACTTACATGTGGAATCTTTAAAAAGAAAACCTCATAGATACAGAGAACAGATTTTTAGTTGCCAGAGGCAGGGGGAGGAGGCTGGGTGAAATGAGTAAAGGTGGTCAAAAGGTGCAAACTTCCAGTTATAAGAAAAATAAGTCCTTAGGCTGTAATGTAGAGCATGGTGACTATAGTTAACAATACTGTTTTGTATATCTGAAAGTTGCTAAGAGAGTAGATCTTAAAAGTTCTTATCACAAAGGAAAAAAAAAACAAACTATGTGTGGTGGCAGATGTTAACTAAACTTACTGTGGTGACCATTTTGCAATACATACATATATCAATCCATTATGTTGTACACCTAAAACTAATACAATGTTATATGTCAATTTTATCTCATTAGAAGGGGGGCAAGACAACATTAGGGTTTAGAAGAACAGACTTAGAAGTTAGACAAAAAAGGGCTGAAATTCAGTGTCCAGCATTTATTATATGACTGACTTTAGAAAAATTATCTAATCTCTGTTTGTAGCAGTTTCACATCTGTAAAATGTGGACAATTATAATATCAACTTCTTGGTAATGTTCAATAGATGTGACAATACTTGATAAATGGTGGGCTACATTCAAAAGAAGAAAAAAATGTTATGCATTAAAAAAACAGAAAGAAAATACAACAAAATTTTAGGAGTATTTGGGTTATGGGATTATAGGTTTTTTCTACTCCTTTTTCCTTTTCTCCTTTATTTTACAAATAAATGTTTGACAGCACACATTGCCGTCACTGTAGAAAAAAACATAGGCTTTAAAACTTTAAACGTATGACAAACCTGAAATCAGCTAAAAAACAACTACTAGTTGAAATACTGGTAATCCAAGTTTATAAAAGCTTAAAAAATTATGTTACACATTAGAAAACTAAAGGGTGACCATTGTTTTCAAAGCTCCAGTGACTCACTAGTAAATGAAACAAAAAAGCAGACTCACAGATATAGAGAACAAACTAGTGGTTACTGGTGGGAAGACGGAAGCGAGGAGGGCAATATAAGCGTAGTGTGGAAAAAGAGGGTTATTATGGGATTATATGAAATTATGTATATGAAACTTTTGAAAACTGTAAAGCACTATAGAATTTAAAGACTCTTTCATATAGTAAAAAAGAAATTTTTTTTTAAAAAGATCCAGTCAATCAGAGAACATGATTTTCTGAATTGAGATTATGATCCTATATACATAAAAAGTATGTAACATTTTATATTGGATGGGAACTTGCACACCCAGACTGACTAAATGACTAACACAAAGTGATCCACAAATTAGTAGTAAAACACCAAGATGAAAACCTGCTTGCCTTTCCACTCTACCTTTATGCCTCTCAGTGTTTCTTATGAAAAAAAAAAAGAAAAAAAAAAAAAAACCATTCCAAGAAAATTTTAACTCTTCAAATATTCAGAATCTAACTGGAAATAAGGAGAAACTAGCCTGAGATTCTATAGCTTTTTAAGAAAAGAAAGACTCCTTCAAAATTACTTGTAATCTAGAAATAAGGTCAAGGATATTGATAAAATACACAATACAAGCATTTGATAAATTGCATTTTTATTAACATAAATCTTTTATATTTTTGTCCACAACGTGCAGTAAAATGAAAAGTAAGTTAATGTATTTGTTTGAAAACATTCTGTAATTCAGATTGATCTTTTTATTGTAATATAGAATAAACATTTAGGGAAAAGTTTTCAATTAGCAATAATAGCGTGCCTCAGATAAACCTCATTGGGTATGATACTGCCACTGCACAAAGCTGGAAGAGACATTAATATGGGTTGTTTTGAGAGGAAAACTGATAAATTTTGCTCAGGCATCACATAGGAAAACTAAGAGAAAATAATGCTAAACTACTTTTAAGCGTTCGGCTAAACCTGCCCCCAAATTACTTTACTATGAGAGATTGATACCTGGAATTCATGGACCCTTCATCAAGGGAAAATCATTAAAAAGAGGATAGCATTGTCTTACACGGTTTTGGCATTTATCTGACCACACAGATAGAGAAATGAAAGAAATGATCTCGAGTCCCTTCCAACTTCACAGTTTTTCAAATAAACCAAAGCAAAACAAAAACACACAACTTAAGATGAGCAACAGCAGGAAGATAAGAAAAATAGTACTAGCAAACACATGTCTCTATAGAAAAGACTTCATAAGGTCTAAATCCCTTATTTTCAAATTAATCAAAATCAAAACACAGGCAAACAGCAAATATTAATAAGGCACTGGAGCAAAGGGACAAATGATTCAAAGGAATAAATGAGGGATTAAGAAATTTTAAATATAAAACTTATTTAGCTAGTCAGAAGCACCTGAAAAATCATACTAAATATACACAATGTAAAAAGAATTACTTCCACACTAACACATACAAATTTACCTTTATCTTAGTGTGCACATCAAAGATATCTGGAATACTACCAAAAATAGTCTTAAGCTCTTCTGGTGCAAGGATAGGCCCACCTCGTTGTCCTTCCTCTTCCAATGGCACTTGAAATAGCTAAAAGATAAAAAAGATTAGTTTAGGTAGATTGTGGAAAATGAAAAAAAAATCTAACATACAGACAGTGATAAAGGAGAGCTATGATGTTAATGGAAAAGAAAAAAAAGTTGAAAAAAAAATACTTCTCCCTAAATTTGAGACCTTTTCTCATAACATTTTCTAGTCTGTTTTATCCTATTTATTTATTCATCTCTGTGTGTATATACAATCTTGTAATAAAATGTTACATTAGGGCTTCCCTGGTGGCGCAGTGGTTGAGAATCTGCCTGCCTGCCAATGCAGGGGACACGGGTTCGAGCCCTGCTCTGGGAAGATCCCACATGCCGCGGAGCAACTAGGCCCGTGAGCCACAACTACTGAGCATGCGTGTCTGGAGCCTGTGCTCCGCAACAAGAGAGGCCGCAATAGTGAGGGGCCCGCGCACCGCGATGAAGAGTGGCCCCTGCTTGCCGCAACTAGAGAAAGCCCTCGCACAGAAACGAAGACCCAACACAGCCAAAAATAAATTAATTAATTAATTAAAAAAAAAAAAAATGTTACATTAGAATCTAATAAAAGTTTATCACAGTTCTATAAATCATTAAAATTGTTAGTAGGATTCACAGTAATTTCTACTTTTTTATTCAAGTAAGTAAGGAACAAAGCAATAAGCAGTCATACACTTAATGTAAGTACTAAATGTTTTTAAATGATAGCAAAAAAACTTGGTTTAGGGGGAGAAGACTGGATGTAAAGCTAGAAGACCTATTTATAACCATGTTGATCTAAGTGGAGCTGAGGCAGTGATGCTAGCACTGGGGAGCGGCTGCAAATATAGATCATCATTAGCAGAGAGGTGTGACTGCACAGAGACCATAATAAATCAATTGCTTGCAGACTCACATTAAAACGCTGTCAGAAGTGGCAAGTGAAAACAAGCTCAGCAAAAAAGAAAAAAAACAAGCTCAGGGCTCCCACTGATTCTGCATTATGGTGAGTTGTATAATTTTTTCATTATATATTACAATGTAATAATAATAGAAATAAAGTACACAATAATCTAATGCCCTTGAATCATCCCGAAACCATCCCCTGCACCCCCACCATACATGGAATAATTGTCTTCCAGAAAACCGGCCCCTGGTGCCAAAAAGGTTGGGGACTACTGTATTATATGATTCCATTTTATGACATTTTCAAAAACCACAAAATTATAAAAATGGAGAAGAGATCAGTGGTTACCAGGAGGTGGAAGGAGAAAAGGGTGTGACATAAAGGAACAGTACCAGGAGTTTTTTTGGGGGATGGAAATATTCTGTATCCTGATTGTAGTGGTGATTAAACAAATTTTCACATGTGTTAAAATTCATGGAAATGTACATCAAAGAGTCAATTTTACTATATAATTAATAAAATTTGACTTAAATTTTAAAATGTTCATTGACTATTCAAAGTAAAAATAATAATGTATTATTGTGTTCTTAACATGTGGAAGTAAAATGAATGACAACAGCACAAAGGGCAGGAGGGGACTGAAGGAAGGAAGGAAGGGGGGAAGAAAGTACATTCTAAATAGTAAAAAACTTTAATAAGATTATGAATCGTTCCTATTTTTAAGAACGACTACAATTCGACAACAGTTTATCCCCCCTTAAAAAAAAAGTATATATAAAAAAGTTGGTCTAGGAAAAGCCCTCATGAAAAATCTCAAAACTTTTCCATGTGACTCACTCAGAATCCCTTAAAAAAAAAATATATATATATATATATATATATATATATATATATATATATATATATGTATATATTCAGGCTTTCCATTTCTGTAAGTATGGTGAAAGCTACCTGCTGAAAACAAAATACTGAAGAAAAACCTCTTTCTAAACACAGCGATAAGCTGACAAGAAAGTGAGGTACCTTCGGAGGCCAAAATCTAAGTGAAAGTAGAAAGTTGAGTACTAAATCACCTTTTGCCTCAAGGACATTTGCCTAAACCGATGAAAGTTAAGCTTCACCTATAAAAGCCTCAGTGGCAACAGGAGACCAACACAAAAACTAGTTTCCAACATACTAACAACTTCCAGTAAAATTAAAAGTGTGTTTAACCAATGATCCAGAAATTCCAGGTTTTTGCCCAGAATATGTTCTCAAGGAGCCACGAAGAATATTCACAGCAGCACTACTAGTAATAGTAAAAACAAACAGCAACCAAACACTAAAACAAATTTCAATGTCAGCAACGAAACACTAAAACAAATTTCAATGTCTATTAAAAATAAAAGTTAAAAAAGTTGAAATATTCATACAGGAAAATGAATTACTGCTACATGCAGTGACACAGATGTGTTTCGAGAACATTTCTATCAAGCGAAAAAAGCAATTCACTAAAAAATATATACTGTTACATTTGATGTTCTACACATGTGATAGATCTATAAGGAAAATGATAAGCACAAAATTCCAGATTACAGTTATCACTGGGAGACGGGAAAGAAATGGAATTGGGAAAAAACACAGTAGGGGATGCAAAGATATCTGTAACCATTTATAAGCATTCCTTTATCTAGTCAACATTTAATTAAAATTCCTCAACAAAAATATTCAGACACCAAAATACATCAAGATTCATTAAAACTTCTCAGTATTCTTAAGACTCAATACCTTAAAACAGTTCTGTGTTTGTTTTAATACCTCATATAAAATTAGTTAGCCAAAAAACTATTGATTCTACCTTTCCAATATTTCTCAAATCTATCCTCTTTTCATTCTCACTGATACTATCCTAAGAAGTTCAGGTTCTCAAAATCTCTAACCAAGACTGCCAAAATAACCTCCAAGTAGATCTCCTTACCTCCACAATTTCCCCTTCTTCAATACCTCCTTCAAAGTGAACCAAGTTCCCTTCTAAAATACAAGTCAAGTGATATCATCCCCCCTCCCATCAAAAATTCTTCTATAATTACACGTGACACACTGTACAAAGGCCTTCTCCAGTCTGGCATAAGCAGTCTTAACTCTCACTGTATCCATACTCCAACCCCTATCCCAGTCCACTTAACCCACCCTCAACTCTAATCCCCCTAGACTACTCTGTAATACCTTGAATGATACATATCTTCAGTGGTTTGTACTGTTGGAATAATCTCAAATACACTTCCTACCATACTCTTTGCATGCACCAATCATAATTATGCTTTAAAACTCACTTCAATTTCTATCTTCTTTATGATACTTTTCCCAATGTTCAACCATTGAAAATTCCAGACCAAACCTTCCCTAAGCTGGAAGAGGAGCAAAATTCTCACCATACAAATCTCCAAATACCTTAACTAAACCTCCCTCATGAAGTTCATAACCTTCCACTTGGTATTATAATAGGTGTGTATGTTTTAACTCCTCTTCCAGTCTAAGTTCCTTTAAAACAGGAACCCTCTTAACACTTGTCACAAAACTTTATATTAATAGGTACCTAAGTATTATTTGGAATACATCAACAAACTTCTGGAGAGTCACTTAATTTGGGGGCTAAGTTAAAATTAAGCTATTCCAAATCCAAACTAAAAAAAAAAAAAAAAGACACATTAGTCCTAAAAAAAAAAAAGCTAAAAAAAAACACTATCATGAATTTAGACCACAATCTTTTAAATAAACTTAGGTGAGTTTATACTAAGCACAGTGGTATGAAAGTCTGTCTACAGTGTAATAATTACAAGTGCTTTTAAAAAAGAAGTTTTAGTGAATTTAATTGATATGCAAATTAAAATTGTGAAACTCCAGTGCCTTTACCACAGCCTGAAAGGATTTACATTTCTAGGTAATAAATGCTACCAAAGTACATGAACAGTGTATGCCAAAGGGATTTTCTGCTACTCAACCACATTTTGGCTGACTATAAAAACTTCAACAAGAAACTCATCTAGGATGATTTCCCTTGAGGAAGAGCAGAGCTGACTTAAAACAAGTGAAGTTTAATATAGCAGAGGGCCTCATAAAACCCTGACTACTGCTAAACAAATTAACTGTGAAGAATAATCTCTCTGTGAATACCAAGAAAGAAGTCTTTTCATTTCTTATTCATGCATTTTATCAATGGTACAAGCAACTAAAGGCCATTATACTGGACCTTAATGAGATATATTAAGATTTCAAATAGAGATCAGTTAAAAATTAAACCCAAATCAGAAACTCCCTATCATTTTTCTATTCAAAGTCAAGCTTGGTGGTATCAACCTTATTTTCCTGACAAACTATTTCCTTCATTACCAAAGTTATTCCTTCTTTCTACAGATTCCAAAATAATGTCCTATTATTGTGTCTTTCAGAACCTTGAATTTTGATTTATTCCTTAATATCTTCTTCAATCTCAACCTACAAGGATTCATTAGAATTGTTTTTCTTCAGAAATAACTTCATAGTACATTTTAATATTAGTAAGCAATGAGTCAACATTTGACTACTGCGTAATTTAAGAAAACTCGACACAGTAAAGGATTACAAAAAAAAATTACTGACAACCATATTGTTATGCTTCATTGCTAATTGCTTTTCCATATATATACAGTACTAAATAAAGCAACGACTCTAGAATACACATTATCAGAAAAAGCTACCACTTCCAAATATAAATGCAGTCTCTTGACATGGAAGCTGCTAAATTCTGAATTAAACTCAGTCCCCTCTAAGATTGTCTATTGAGGAACCTTCTCTCTTTAAAGTCACTATTAAAAAAAGATGCTATTTCTGCATGAATAAAACGCTACTCTTAGTTATGCCATTTCCCTAAGAGCAGTTTTTGTCATACATTTTCATTTTTAATATCTGTTCAGATTCTGTGCTTATATAATTTTCTTATAAAAAATAATACCACTTAGATTATTTTACTTATAAACACTGGAACAGAGATCATTTTTCCAAACTCTTACCTGAATAATTGTGGCCAATATATTTACGTAATTACTTTCAGTCTGATAGAGCTCTCTTGCAACTTGCCACCTGGCTGACTGCTTTGAAGGAACTGGAGTAGAATTTTTAGATGACTTAGTACAAGACTTTGGTGTTTCTAAAAGGTAAAAAGGAGGAAAGATTTAAAATGGAAGTCAGATGTAAGTACCAAACACTGCACAAATTTAACAGAAAAATAGGGAA